TTGGAGATAGGTTACTTCTTTGAATCTGTTTTATCACATGTAAAATGGAGATAATAGTACCCACACAGAATTATAAGAATTAAATTATAGAATGCTTGTAAAGCACTTGGCATAGTGTCTGTTACAACATATATGATAGCCTTAATACAAAGTAGCAACATAACTAAATGGTAGGATGTTGAGAAAGTTTTATGAAATATTTAAAGATTGTTCAAAGTGATATATTTCTTTGGAACAAAATTTGGCATTTCCATGAAAACTATCAAATAATGGCATGATTAGGTTAAGAGGTTCACCATAGTATTATAATAGCGGAAACTTAGAAGCAAACTAAATCTCCATCAAAAAAGAAATGATTCAATGTGGTATGTCCATGCAGTAATATGCTGTGGAATTATTAAAAGAATGAGATCTATATGAACAGATACCCATGATATCCATGTATAAATTGTTAAAGGTGAAAAACCTACAAATGCATATAGCACGAATCCAAGTTTATACCACCCTCCAAAAATATATATGTACATATACACAAAATAATGTGTGTGTGTACATATGCATATATGAAATAGGGGAGTGGTTAGTAATCATTTCTCCTGAATGGAAATGGAAGTAGAAAGACAGACTTTCTTTTCACTTTGTAAAAGGAGAAAAGAATGTAGGCAATGTTTTATTTATTTGTGTTTTTTAAATCAATAACAACAAAATAACAATTAGTAACATTCAGAAGAAATTGTTCAGAGGGCTTAGGAGTGTCTACACCTAGAAACTAGAAACAACAGACCTAGTATTCATTACTTACTATAGCATCTTGATAAAATCTGTAACACTCAGATGGAACACAAGTAGAAAAACACTTGGGTACTTGTTACTCTATAAGAGTTACTAAGACTCATTGCCGTTGAGTTGATTCTGACTCATAACGACCCTACAGGACAGAGCAGAACTGCCCCATAAGGTTTCCAAGGAATGCCTGGTGGATTCTAACTGCCGACCTTTTGGGTGGCAGCCAAGCTCTTAACCACTGTGCTACCAGGGCTCCACAGTCAACTCAAAGGGCTCACCGGGAATATTTTTGTTGCATGCAGAAAAAAGAGACACTGCTAAAAATTTTTATCAGGGATTGGTAAGACAGTTATCAGAAGTCTCTGAACAAAAAGGCAAACCCTAATTTAAAAATGTGGGTTAGTTAACATGCTATGTTATGAAATAATTACCAGGTATGATGCTTTCATCACCACTTTGGTCTTTGTTAACTGCTATCTGCTGCATTAATTCTGCTTTTTCTTTTTCCAGCTGACGATTAGCTAATCTAGAACACAATGATTAATACATTAAAAAAGACATTACTAAAGAATATACATGGGCATTTCTTATGAACTAGTGATGTACAGTGCTTGGAATTCACTAATATTTATAAGGGCAAACATGTACTCATTTTTACTCTTAATGCTTCAATGAAACCATTCTCAGATAGTATGGAATCACAATTCTTCATTTATTTCTTAATATCTAATTTGATGTAATTTTTAAGAGCAGTTTTTCTATAGGAGGAGCCTAATGAAAACAGGTTACACAGACCCTGGAATTAGAACTTTTTTTCCCCCTCTCTTTCATTAGCATTTGTCTCTGGGAAGCTAACGTTTAATACATTCTATGCTATTAGGAAAGTTTAAACTACAAAGTGGAAATATTAGGATTGGGTTTACCCTTTTTTCAGTATCAATTATGTAAAAGATACAGTGATTGGCATATTAAACCCTTGCCACTGAGTCTATAAGTATCTAATGAGCCTATTAGGCAGCAAGGTTGAAAAATCCTAGTTTCTAGCTATAGCAAATGTGGTTACACTAAAAAGGGAAAAAAAGAAGAGAATGAAGAATAAGAAAAAAGTCACATGAGCATATAATGTACCTCAGAACTTGGAGCTCCTGGTTAAGGCCTTGTTCTGTCTTGGCACCTTCAGGAACATGTTTGAGAATCTCAATCTTTGGGCACAATGAAAAGTTAGAAGACAAAGTCTGACATCGAAATTTGAGGTTTTATAAAGATCCACATTTTCAAGAAAGTATAGTATTAAAAGCTGGGTTTTCAAAAGCGCATATGGCTTACCATACAGTCCAGCAATTGAGCTCCTAGTTACTACCTAATTGAAAATTTGAGTCCACACAAAAATCTGCACTTGAATGTTTGCAGTTGTTTTATTCACAATTGCTGAAAATGACGCTACCAAGAAATGAATAGG